TTACTCCTCATGTAGCGTATGCCACTGACCAGGATTATTTTAACTATTGTGTTCCGGGCTCTCCTTTCCAATTGTTCTCAAGTGCTATTCATTCTTTTGATGCCTGCTCCCAATTCTCTGAGCTATGTGTTGTTTGGTCTGCCTCTCTTTCTTTTGCCTTAAGGATTCCACGTTAGGGTTTGCTTTGTGACGCGGCTCGATGATCTCCGAAGAGTGTTACCTATCCACCTCCAGTACGCTTTCCTTACCGACTTTCCATCTGAAGGCTGGTTTGTTCTCTACCACAGTAGGTTGTTGCTGATGCTATCTGGCCAGTGTATCTGGAGTATCTTGTGTAGACAGTTGTTTTTAAATACCTGTACTTTTATCATGGTTATTGTGGTAGTCCTCCAAGTTTCACCTCTATAATGTTCTACTATCCACACTGACAACGCCAAAGTTCGCTCAACTGAAATTTCGGATTGTGTGTTTCGTTTGATCTCCATTTGTGTCATAGGTAGGATTGCCTGGTTATTTAGAGGGACCACCTAGTTCATTTGGACTGTCTGCTTGCTTCATATGTCGTAATAGGTATTACGGTTTCCTTTCCCGAAGATCATAAGTTGTCTGCAGCTGCTATAGTCTCTTTACATCGGAGGTTGATGTGCGTTGTATCGCTGCTGCTTTCAGTTTATCATAACGCTCATGTTCTGGCACTTGTTCGAATAAGTACCTAACTTCTGTGGCCATTTCGATAGGTAGAGCACCGCTACATATGCGTAGTTTGTTGCTTGTGAACGAATTTTCTTAAGTATAAATAGGGTTTCTACCCAGGCAGACTAGATACTTGGTTTATTTGCCCCATACGCCGGAAGTCTGAATTAAGATATGGCATCAGTTGTGGTCACCATGGCTCCGGATAATTGAGGTAATACGGTAGGAGCATTTAAGAGAGAACCGTCGACGTCACTAAGATTATTAGGGGGATACATTACATGAAAAAGCCGACGAGTCTGGTAAAATAAGCAATGGACGTTAGGCTCGCCAGATAATTGTGGTGGACCAAGAATGTATCAATTTCAAAAATAATAGTAAAGTTATCACGTCCAAAACTTAATTTAATAATACATAATATGTAATCTATACACATAAGAAAAATATACAGGACTTTAGATAAATTGTCAGAAATTGGCGCCTTCGGGTTTCTTTTTGTGAAGTAGTCGCAAATATAAGTGCCTAATAGCCGCAATCACAATTGTTATAGTTCGACGTGTATATCGAGATAAAGCATCTAATGAGAATATCAGTGTGATCTGTACACGTAGATAGCAAACACATTAGAGTTCTTTTATCATAACCACAGGTAATTTAGAACAAGAGGCATACGTAAGTGACAGTGTATTTGTGAGTGATAATCAGAGCCAAGCTTTTAGTCTTCAGTCTTCAGTAATAAGGATAGGAGGTCTGTCGACCTATATTAATCCTTGCAGTTTGTAATACTGTGGAGGTCCAATCTCGTTTTGAATATATTAACAGACGGTGCTGATATCACGTGTTCCAGTAGAGAATTCCAGTAATTCACTACTCGGTGCGAGAAACGGAACTCCAGACGTAAACGGTTTGATCTCGGTTTTTGAACTTTCTTCGAATGTCCTCTCAAATGATCAGTTCTAGACGGAAGCAAAAGATAAGACATGTTAATACCAAGGTCATCGTTCAGTATACGATAGGCCAATATTAGATCACCCCCGTATTCTACGGTAAGATAACGGAAATAAGTTAAGGTGTCTCAGTCTGTCTTCATAAGATAGGCCAGATAGACCTTGTACCATCGTAGTAGCTCGTCGTTGGACTCGTTCTAGCATATCTGCTTCGTACTTGAAACAAGGACACGCTGCTTGAATCCCGTATTCTAAATGTGGTCGCACATAAATCGGGTATAGTAATCTAAACATTTCATCGTCTAAATACTAGAAAGACCTACGAATTGACCATAATACCCTATAGCCTTTTGCAGCAGCAGCCTTGCAGTGACTAGTGGTTTTGAGATCATTGCTTAATATGACTCCTAAATCTTTATAGTTTCTTGCTTTGGGTAGCACGAATCCACGTAGTGTATAGTGATACGATTCGTCAGAGTTATTTAACTGCATCACTACACTCTTATTAGGATTTACTTCTAGTGACCACCTGTCTAACCATGCCACCAATGAGCTAAGATCGTCCTGTAATACTATTCTATCCAACATACTATGTATGGGTCTCCAAATCTTTGTGTCATCAGCGAAGAGTAGAACGGATGATTTTGCTACAGTTGGCAATTCATTTACATAAAGTAAAAAGAGAAGAGGACCTAGAATTGTACCTTGGGGAACCACACTTTTTACAGGTAACCACGAGGAGAGAGCCCTATTAACCCTTACCCTTTGTCTCCTGTCATGGAGAAAGTTACTTATCCAATCGACGACTGTATAATGGATTCCAAAACGTTCCAGTTTGAATTTAAGACCAGAGTGTGAAACCTTATCAAAGGCCTTACTTAGATCTGTTAAAATCACATCCACAGGAACATTCCGATCTTTTGCAGCAGCCCAATCTTCTCTTGCAATGAGAAGATTTGTCAAGCAAGATAGGCCTTTCCGAAAACCATGTTGTGCCCTGGAGAAAAGATTTTGCCCTTCAACATAGTTTATAACAGCTATCCGAATGATTTTCTCCATCAGATTTACAACTGCACTAGTTAAGCTAACGGGTCTATAGTTACTAAATCCCTACTCCCAGCCTTATACACCGGACTTATTATGGCGTCTTTCCAGTCTCTAGGAAGTCTGGACTGTCTCAGAGACATGTCGAATAGTATCGCTAATGGTTCAGCAATTTCATCTGATACGGCTTTCATAATCCTAGGATAAATATCATCAGGACCGCTGGACTTATCAGGTTTGAGATGCTGAAGTAGCCTTAAAACAGTACCTTTCTCAATGACTACAGGATCCATCAGCGAGGCGTCACGGTCACGATGAATCGTTGGTCGTTCCTCATTACCGATAGAAAACACTTTACTAAAATATTCCGATAAAGCTTCAGCTTTTTCGGCATCATTTTCTGCTAAGATTAACGGATTATCTCGTATCAAAAGTGATGGAATTCCATCGCTTCTCTTAGTTCGCCTTTTTGTATACGAGAATAACCGTTTCGGACTATATCTAGAATCCCTAACCAATTGTTTTTCGTGTGAATGTCAAGTCTTGCTTATTAACGCTTTACAGGCATTCCTAATCTTACAATAACTGGATCTGTATTGTTCTAAGCCAGTAGAGATGAACATATTCCAGTGATTCTTCCTTTTTCTAAGGAGTTTCCTGACCGTTTTAGTTATCCATGGTGGACTATTATTCGGTCTTCGCGGTACCAGGTATGGTATGAACGGGGACGTAACTAGTCTAAATTTACCTTTAAATACAGACCATGCTTCTTCAACTGATAAGCTAGTATCTACTAACCAATCTGTCTTAGCAGCGCATTCCTGAATGGCTGATATGTTAGCTTTCCATACATTTGGGCGCGGTGTAACCTGACCGTATAACATGTTCTTAGTTCTAAACGCGAATGACAAAACAGCGTGATCGCTGTCCACTAACGGTGGAAGAATATTTAGGTCGACAATATCCTCAGTCTCATGAGTGATCACCAAATCCAGCAGAGAAGAACCCTGGTTAACACCAAAACGTGTGGGTTTGGATACATGCTGCACTAGTGCATGCTCCATTATTGTTATCATGAACCTACTATCAAAGGAGTTTATAGATCCTTCTGTGGTCATATCAGTCCAACTAATATCAGGTGCGTTAAAGTCTCCTATTATCAAGCACCTGGTATTATCACTCAAAAGATGAATGTGCTCTAAAATAAAGTCATCAGCTAAGCAGATTGGGCTGCGATAGATGACACCTAGCATAAATGTACTACATCCTATTGCCAACTTACAGCTAATGACTTCACAAGTACCGCTATCATGGGATTCGCTAGTAGAGGAGCGGATATTTATGCCATTGGCTATATATAACAGGACACCGCCTCCTTTTCTACATCTATGTCTATCACTCCTGATGCAATGGTATCCGGATAATTCTGGAGTAATGTCTAAGTCATGGACTAACCAAGTTTCTGTTACTGCTACTATAAGTGGCTTTAACCTGTCCACTAGTGCTTCTAGTTCATAGAACTTATTTCGTAGACTACGAGCGTTGGCATATAAAACTCCTAAGTAGAACAGCCTATCCACACAGGCCTTGGTAGCATTCGCTTCCAAGACCTGACTATCCGAAAACCCACTAGCCGGAGATTTTTCTCGCCGTTTTGCCGACGGGTTTCAAGTTCAGCTAGTGCTTTCTTCCTTTTTATTCTATCTTCGAGAGACATGTCAGGTCTAACTCGGATGTCAGAATTGTCGTGACAACGAGCGCTACTTAACAAGAGATCACGTTGCTTTTCCGATCCTAGGTTTACCTTAAGGAGTCTGCATGGACGGGGTTCAACATTGTCCTCGGTCCTCTTGCCTATTCTTACCAATTTTTTGACCTGAACTCCTTTGGAGTTATCTGGTAAAATACTACGAATGTATTCTCGTAGCTTTTCTAAGTCATGCGCGTGTCTAATTTTCGGATCAGGGTCGTTTGACTCCCGCAATTTGCTCACAATAATATTCGATGTTATTAGATTTTTCTTCTCAGTCACGCCAGGATGAGTTTCACTCTTACCTTCAGATTTTGGTAGTGCAATTTGTGGCTCACAATTTGGGTCCACCAGTGAGTTACTAACCACCTGTGTACTGCTTACAGCTTTTTTCTTTTCGTTTCTTTTCCTACGTACCGTAGTCCATTTATCCTCTTTTCTGTTTCGAATCATAGGTCGTGTCTTCACATAACCAGGAAAACCTAACTACTACACAGATGGAGATCTAAAGGAACGAACACTTCAATATTTCAGCTGAGCAAAACTTGGCATTTGAATTATTGTGTGATAGTTTCACGCTACATAATTGAGCACTTCAACGATACGCGCAAATATTTGAGTCCTTTTGGCAGACAGGTTAAGCTATCTATAAATTTATCAGAGTAGCTCGAATATATTCAAAATTGTCTTAATATGACGCTTGTGTTGGTGATTGTTGCCTATTGCTTTCCGTAGTGAATGTAAGTGTATTGTGTGGGCTTCTGGGTCGTAGACTTATGTTTTCTATTATCTTTTCCAGGCTTCACGCTATTTTGCATGCTCAACTAGTACACAAAGTACTTTCTGACTTGACACGAACCGCTACAGTTGTATGCCATGGAACCTCCACATATGCTTATCCCAAGCCCAATATTTCATAAAAGAAACAGAACCATGTCCCAATCAGAAGGTGCCTCTAAAGGAGAGCATGGTAGTGGAAAAATAATTAGCTTTTGTCGTGATAAAGGACATGGTTTTATTAAACCTGATAACAGTGATGATTGTATTTTCGTGCATGTTTTTGAGTAAGTTTTCCATACATTATAACAAGCTTCCAAGTATCGACGGTGAATACGTGCCTATCGAGGGAGACGTTGTGGAATATCGTAAGATGCTCATCCCTCCGAAGAATGAAAAGTACCAAGCAGTTCACGTTAGAATAGTCAACCTTAGTCCAGAAAAGCATAAAACCTGGGATGAACCAGCCTAGTTCTACATTTAATTCAAATAACTGACATCTTGGTTGGTATTTTCAAAAACCGGTTATATATATATATATATATATATATATATATAATCAATATTGTAAATAGTCCAACCATCAATTTTCACCAAAACTTAGTTTTTTCAAGCCTAGGAGGTATAAGGTGTAAAGATTCAGAATGTATTGCGTGAGATGTAAGTTTATTTCCGTCAATGTGGTTCGAACCACTCCGGAAACTGCAAACTTGCTTATGTCACTCCCATTAAAGCTAGAAAACCGAAGGATTCCCGAACCTCTGTTTAAATGTGTCAAAGACTTGCTGATAGCCTATCGGCAGAAAGTAGAAATAAGTTCTTCATGCTCTTCGTGAAAATCAGTACCTAGCAAAGTTATGTTTGGCGCATGTTATCTAATCTGTGTTACCTTACATTATGTCAAAGTCTGGTCAATAGTAACATGGAGTGACATTGCATGTTCATCCCGAACTTGCCTTAGACGTTCTGGAAAACTGATCTAAATCGGGGTCAATACTTATGGTTGTGTGAAAGTCATGACATTGTCAGTCCTCTTAATCTTGTCGAGCGGGGGTATGACCGATTATTAAGATAATGAGCCATATACGCGTGACTACGACTTGCTAACGTGCTGTTGCAACTAGAGTTCTGATCCTCATGAGCGTTTAGTCGAGCATTTACCGACCTGGATACAAGCATATATACAGGCCTATTGAGATTTAAACTAGGAACCACGCCGCCAGCCCCAGTTTAGAGTTACACACCTTTGAAAATGGGCGGATGACTATTTCCATCCATATATAATGTGGCTTGAGAAGTTTTACCTCTTTACTCTCTTACGCCGGATTAAGTAGTGAAATAACTTCAATAAATTGTGTACTTGGAAGTAATTTTGGTCGTATGTCTCTTCCAGCTAGGTCGGGACAACTTATAAGACTGAAAGCGAGTTTGAAAATGAAAAGCGAACGCGGAACCTTTGTCGTGTAGGTCTTCTCACCGAGTAATCACCTGAGCACCTAGTATCCGCGTCTTACAATTGTGTCTGAAGAAGATTCGACACCAAAGGTTACTGAGGAAGTCTGTCGGCTCTATTCCTCAATAAACAATTGTCAATATTCCTGGGGGTGGGGAATGACGTACTGATTATTAATCAAAGTGTGCATCTGGATAGTGAGTAGTTTCTCCTGATTGTAGTTAAGTATTGTTCTCGCTACGTTGTTTTTCGCCTAAAGATGGTTTTTGAATCTCAGTTTTACGTCATTTAGTTAGAATCCGTTCACGGAATGTGAATGTGGATGTTCGCTAAAAGTCAATCTTCTGTCAAGTATCTATTAGGATTCTAAAGGAAAGACTTACTTCTGTGCTGGGAATTTCACGAATTGCCCACACACGTACTGAGTAGCTGTGAGCCAATCGTTTAGACGCTTGAATCTAAACCATTTAGTTCCAGGCTCATGACTTCCCAACTATTCCCACAGACTGAACACTTGCAGTCAAAAGAGAAGTCTAGTTTGAATTTGGTCGTAAGAGGCACCTGGTTTCTAATGTAAATTCAACTAGATACAGATACGTGGAAATAACTATTCTCGCGAGGGTCGGATGCTGATCTTTGTTGAACAGTTGGATAAATGTTTATGCCTCTGGAACTTCCACTACATATAACAAGAGACACATTAGGGTCCCAATAAATTTTAATAAGGAATAGAGGATGTGCATTATTGAACGGGCTATAACAACTGCAGAATATATCCTCAAGCAATTATAATATATTGATATAAGGACACAAGGGGTGGAAAATAAGAGGAACAAGCTTTATGATGCACTATGATGATAACTGCTATCATTATGTACTTCAAGAATTTGCTTAAACTTCGTCATTGCTAACCTGCTGTTTGTTGATGTAAATAAACGTTATCATTGGGGACGATTTAAAATTCGATCAAACGTCAAGAGCCTTAATCAAGAAAATACTTTTCGCGTGAGACTTTGCCAGTTCTGAAAAAAATACATGGCACAGTCAGTCAAATGCACCGATTAACCTAGCACATATTCAGTGGTTCGATTTGCCATGCCACGTTAAGACAGCGAGATGAAATTAGCAAGTCAAATTAGTAATATCGGTTATACAGAAAAGGTCAAGATTTAGTGACTTGGGTTCTAAGGGTTGACGAGGTTGATCAGTGTAATCCTTGCCGCTTAATCTCCACTTACCTACACGGCTCACTGCAGTTGTCAATGATTTAACGAGTTGACAACACATCTTGTTTTGGTCGCTCCTAACCCATTCCACTCGACAGTGTTACTCGGGAAAGCAGGCGTTGGTTTGGCATAGGCAATACATGTTCCGACCATGGTAGTTGGTGACGGTCCGCCGGCTCACCCATCAACTAGTTATCTTCACCCAGTACCTTAACCTCGACAGTGTTTATTCCTTGGTCCCCCAAGAAAAACACGAGTAGTGCTTCAAATGCTAGTGACCTACGTATATCTGCTATTCTTAATGATCATGGTTCACAGTCATGAAGTAAGGAGTCGAACTGCTGCTGAATAAACATCCTCTCCTCTATGCCAAAGGTGACGTAAGTTGGCAGCGAATTAAGCTTACTGAATTCGCGCTAAGATTTCGTTAAACACCAAACCATCAGGGATGGTAAAACTCTCAGGATAATTATACAATCCATGGTGAATTTAAACATATCATCTGATGAATGTTTAGACCAGTCAGCTATGCAAACAACTGCTAGCAGCCGCAGACCTAAATTTAGTCATACAGTATATGAGGTACCGGTCCTTTGGAGACTCAGCGTCTGAAGGATTTGGCGAGCGATAGACAGAAATCATTTAGTAATAGGGCATTATTCACTGTTATTTTTCTTGCTACAGTTCAGTCATAATTACGCGACAAACAATTCTGAGGTTACACGTGTAAATTGAAATGACTGAAAATATGCTACTAAGGAATAAAGCATTTTTGATAGCAGATATATCCCACCAGAACTTTAGTAGTCAAGTCTAAGGTAAATGTTTTAGATTAATGAAGTCTTATTAACATTAGGATCATGGACCGATCTAAGGTAGATTGAATGATCAGTATTGGGTTTGAACAAGGATCTAGCTAAGTTGTAATAGAAAATTTTGGGGAAATGGGACAACGACCCCATAATCGCGAGGCTGGGTAGTTTTCTTGAATAGCACACAGCTCGTAACCGTAGCTGTGTTTTCTCCTGCACCTGTCTAGATGCTTCGTTGTTTACGGCAAATGTGTCAAAGTGGTCACACAGACAGGTGGCTATGTTACCACAACCCAGAAGCCTAGTTTGTAAACTTGAAGCGTGAAGCCACGATGGGGAAGTTATCTTCGTGACAACATTTTGTCGATCTATGCAACATTTCCCTCTGAAATCGACTTCATAATGAAGAGTTACTATTCAGGATTTCGGTAGAACCTAACACTGGTTGCTATTACATAAGCTAATATGTCGAGATTTCTTTTGATATCGTGAGGAACTATCTGCATTGATTGTCAGGCATAGGATAGTATGATGGATAATACTAGTTCGACCTTGATTTGAGTGCTCCTATATTCAGTCAGTCAGCTACAACGTAGGATCAGGCACATATGTGCATCGTTTCGAGTTGCCATACCTCATTAACACAACAAGATGAACACCAGATTCATAGAAGTAGTTAATTCAGTGGTGGTAATATGTAAAAGAAAGACTGCATCTAAGGACATAGTACAGGAAAAAAGAATTAGTTCGTAGAATGAAAGTTACGAAGCGATTTCAATCTCAGACAGTGTATACTCCGACGCCATTGTGGTCGACTTTGAACCATATCACCCATCCTATATTCATGCTACTATGTAGCATTCACACAGAAGATTGCTGTTCTAAATTCCTGGTCCGAGATATCGCTAACTCTTACAGAGAAAGATGATATTCTATGCCAACAAAATAGTAACAAAAAGAATTATTAGATGTGGTTTCTCTCAACTCAGTCTTTCAAGTTACTTAGTAGGATAACGTGGCAGTATGGAGTGAATATACAAATACGTAGACAGTATTGGCAAATCCATGAAATTTTTTTTAGTCAAATAAAAAAGATATCTATGAAGTCGTATACCTACGGTTTTATCAGTTTATTCTGACGGTCAATTATTTATGTTTTTAAATTACAGGGTTCAATCTGAGTGACTCCCGAACATTGTTAATCCGCTGATCCAGAAGAGCTAAGTTGTCTTGAAATTCCATTTCGTCAATCACTTGAAGTGGGGAAATACTGGAAGTTACACTAGAAGATAAGGAACATTTATTATCAAGCTCTATGATTTCTTGGTGGTTAACTATTTTTCGGATCTACAAAATATAAAAACGCATTTGTGTAAAATATAGGTGTAATGAGCTGTGTAATTGTAAGTTTAGTTAGGAATTATGTATAGACAATAATAATTTTTCCATATTTTATATTCAAGATAAATAAAAATGGCAGTTTTAGATTTCAATGGTAAGGCTTTTTACAATTATCAGTGTTGCACCTCATGATTGTACTCGTTGTATTTGGCTGGAATTATAAATAAGTTAGTGTCTGTGTGTAGTTAGTAGTATAGCGTTTGTCGAAAATTCGTTTACTAATCACTCCTCTAAACGGGGCTTTTTCTTGCACGTTTGGTAAAGGTGTTTTAGAATCTCATTTGATACGGGGTATTATGCACAGTAACTTTAAATGACAGAATTAGACTTAATAATCGATGTTAATGCTATGATCATTTTATTAATGGTTCTTTCGTTGAGAATTCTTTGAAAAATTATTTTCGATTCTTTAAAAAAACAAAAACTACGTGGAAAATTTAACGTTGCTATTCATGAAGAACTGAATTAAAATGTTTCATTAAGACACAAATGTATTTTTTATGGTATAATCTGAATGAAAACAAAAGGAACATATATTATTCTTTCATTAGAATTGAAAATTGCCATAAATTGTTGAATTCTTAGTTATTGCAATCTGAATTCATGATGAATGAACCCCAAAATATAAATTTTCTGTTTAACTCCATGCAAACAAGCTCATTGGCGATAAAAGTCACCGATGAATTGAGTTAGAAAAGTTCACTTACTCAGACAAGTGGAGATGCGCATAATGGACAAAATCTCAGTCTACAAAATTTAACTAAAAGTTGACTTAACATATGTAGAAATGAAGGACACACTGAGCCATATAAATACATAGGAACTAGCATAGACAAGCATTAGTAATGTATGCTCAAGATTACATATAAGTGTTTGGCAAGGGCAAAATATGAGTGACAGCGTGTATATATCTTCCAAAAATTAGTACGAATATGGGAATCTTTTTTAGGAACACATCGTGCAGAATCTTAATGTATAGTTGGGGTATGTGTTGCTAAGATATTAGACAGTATTGTAATGAGCGTCCGACTCTTAGTTCAAATAGATTCTGTTGTATTTCAATTGTAGTAATTGGCCAAAGCCAACTCAGCGTCATAAAACTGTCAGAAAACGAAAGTTAGAACAAATTCAATTATGGTCTGAGGATGTTGAGTTTTTAGTTACGGACCAATTTTGTTAACATAGAACACTTCTTAAAATACTCTCCAATCTCAATAATAAGCACATTTTCTTATGACAGATTTAACTTCATGAAATATTCCTGTTCTATGAGTATATCAGAGTTGCAAATGTTTGTCGGTAAATCCACTTTCCGACAATTTATTATTAACGTTGTTAGTGATCATTGGGATGACCAGTCCGTTAACTGACGTCAATCAATTAATTATCTGACGATTCTTCAGCATGTTGACAGGAAATTTCCTATTCTCAGTTACTACTGGTATAATTTACATTTGTCGGTGACATTAACTATGGAATACACTACCCCATTTGAAACTCAAATCAATTGCAATGTGTGCAAACACTGGACTAGTGAGTTACAATGCTAACAGATTGTTAAACTGCAAACCACTATTATAATCGTAGGCAAAATGAAGATATATGGAAAGACTACATGCTAACATTCTGATAAATTCATTTAAACCGATTTTGTACGGAACACCAGACAGCTTTTAGGTTATCATACAAGATTATCAGTAGACGAATGTAGTTCACTTTAATTCATCTTTTGTAATAAAATTAGATTTATAAATGCTGACAGAAAAGATCTCTTAGAGTATGTGTGTTTTGAGTAACAAATATGTTATTTTACAACACGATTCATGCCTTTTGTCAACTCCAGAATAACTAATCATACAAAACTATACAGAGCAACATGAAACTCGATAGCTCTTCCAGACTATACATGGTTAAATATTACCACTAGAAGAAAAGACAACCATCCATTATAAAATGCAATGCGAGTATGGTAGTTGATTTTGAAAGAGCGGATGGCAAGTAATTAAAACACTCAGTTATCAACAATTAAATTTGAGAAACCTGAAATCACTACTATTCATACATAAAGAAGTTACGGCTTAAGGTCGAGTACAAAAATTTGTACTCACAATACACTATTGATGATTTATCTTACTTTAAATTATTGAAGCTATTATATATACATTCCAAGAAAAATAAAATGGAATTTAATGTAATAAAGGAAACAATGAGAACATTTACGTCGTTTGAACTTGAAGCCGTTGAATGCACCGAAATACGATCACCTTCATATAAATTGTCAAGACTGGTTGTATTTTGTAGTTGGTTCGTGCCGCAACTGTTAGTAATAAATATGAAGATTTTACTCGAATAATTTGAAAAAAGATTGCTGTTTCGTGTGAAATAAAATCATTCGAAAGTTTAAAATAAAAGAGGAAAGTCTGAACGCCTTCATATTAGAATAGGACATTCATTTCTTCTAGCTGAACCACTTTAAATCAGAGGTGGGCAAAATATAAAATTATGCGTCAAAGCAGCTAGAAGGGATTATTTATATGAAAAGTTTGTGCCCATCAATTATAGACGTGAAAAACGTTATTGTTATGTCATGCGGCGTCCAAGCGTGATACTGATACACGAAATTCTTTTATACAAGCCCTCAACAAGCTGCTGAGTGAGAAAACTAAAAGTAAATGAGGGAGTTTATTGGAGTAAACCAAATGAAATACATAAGGACTCATTTATATAAACATATCTACTCAGTGAATCCGATTCTTGGCCAACATGCGCTTGTCATTAGGAGATTTTTGATTGGCACAACACAGCCTTCTCATTCAGCGTATGTTGATTAGCCCACTGGCTGAAAGTGTTGGAATGGATGCACATCAATTACTAATTTTATTGCCTATGCTTTTATTTTGAATGTTCATATGAAGGTTGTATGACCGTTTCCAATTAATTTTTAATTTATCGTCAATAGTATTCTGCACGGTTGATTGTTATGCGTCAGAGGTGGAAAAACTAAAGCATGAAGACCGCAAATCTTTTTTGAAGTCATTTGGAATTATGCATAGAAATGGTCAGAAGTAAAATCGTACTAAAGAAACATGGTATTTATACTAGAGTTTCAGGAAATGGTGTTTAAAATTAAACTTGATTTACTAACTAAGCAACTTGAGGAATTTAACTATAGTCAGTTCCTAACATTAACCACACAAATGATTTCATTGGAAACTGATCAGGAATACAATCGCCAGATTTCAGCGCTCAATTATAAATTTCCACGATGTTTTAAGTATTTCAAAACACGTGAATTACAGTGTAATTTACTGGATTTTTCATTTGCTTCTGATATTAATGGAGTTAATTGTGTTCTTCAGTTGAAGTTAAAAGATCTACAGGGTGATAGGAGCCTGAATGGACGTTACAAATGTGCAAAATTGACTAAATTATATACGTAAAGTTAACAGAGGTTAAATTTTACAACCTGAAAATTTTTTCACGTGAAATGTTCTCTCTTTAGGTTGACTTATATTTGTGAGCCGGCGTTTTTATGTATAAATTTAAGTAAGTCAATATTTTAGAACTGGGAAGGATAGCTCAGGACAGAGTTGGATGGAGAGTGCTGGTGGGCGACCTATGCTCCTTCACGAGAGGTAAAAGACGTAACTAAGTAAGTTAGTATTTAGATGTTCCTTTTTCATCTGATGATGGTCTGTTAAAAATAGTGAATAAGCAACTACTGGGAATGTAAATAGCGATAATTTATCAGTTAGAATATTTTATGTTCGTATTTTCTTTCCACTTTGTAAATCACTGAGCAAAAAGTGGTCAATTAGTTAAAGAAGTCAGCCTATTTTCGGTAAGACAAAGAATATTGAAAGACCAACCTTCAGTAAAAGTTATGGGTGGTGGGGAGTCAAGTTTTATATGCTGGATATAGTCGACCTGAAAGTGCATGTTATTCTCAACAAAACATGTGGTCAGATAGATAAGAATGCTTAACGCCACAGTTCCGATTAAGACGCCTTCTCTGGAGCGGTTGAGTGAAACTATCTATGACCTACATAGTTCTTTAACACTACATTTGACAAACATTTTTTAAATTACTGGTGAAAAAAATATTTCGAAACCGAATTTTCTACTGATGTGGTATATAATGATTGTGAGACTTAAGAATTAATTGAAAATATTACTTTATGAATGACTTTATTTTTCAATAATATATTGTTTGACCTAGCCTATTTTCAGTACCCTTTACGTGATAATATGTTTTTTTTGTGAAAAATCAAATTACCATAAATATTGTCAAATTCTGACAGAAATTCATACGAAGTTCAGGTAGATGATGTCCAGAAAGTTAAGCAAAACTTTATGGCTAAATTACCCAGCTCTGAAAATAAAACTTCACACAAAACACTACGACACAGTGAGCCAACGGGCTTTCAATAACGGGGATCTAAATCTACCATTTCTTATTTTCACGTGTGAACATAAATTCTGCAAGTTTCAGTTAGATTTAAGGAAATTTGTTTTTACTTAGCCAAAAGCTTATCTTCTACACCATAACATGTGTTTGCTAGTCAAAATGGTAGATACTGTCTATCGTATTTTGTGAATTTATAGTGCAAAATGTTAAGGCTTGGATACCAAAAATTAGTTTTGGACGATATAGCGATTAATGTATATATCTGGCAAGTAGATACTGAACTAAAATTGAGCAAAAACTTGTAGCAGAACAGTATACTATGTGACCAATTGTCAATTCAATTACTGTGTCTATTGATCAAAAGCAAATTAAAGAATAATTCATAGGTGGTGTATGCTGAGAAACGTGGTGAACATTTGATCAAGATGGCTAAGCTTACCTGATGTAGTTGTGAGCACGTTTGTTCGTTTGACATGATTGATTAGTTAGACGCTGAAGAACCTTTGGTGTCACACATTCATGAGGATCTCGATATTCACTACTGAGAGAAAGAAGTTTGCTTAAGGTAGGAAAAGTAGCTGATAAATCTGGTGTTGATCTAATTGAATCAATATTTTTTAGATACCGTTTGCAATTCGTTCGCTCTGTTGGGAAATTGTCAGATCGTTCTTGTGAAAAATGCTCTGAGTTACGTGGATTTGGAATTATGTTTGAATAACACTGTTCCAACATAGAAATGCGTTCTTTCAAGAGTTTTATATATTCTCGTGAAATTTCAAGATTTTTTGATACTTGTTCTTTAGCAGTGACAACAACAGAGATCTTTCTATGAAACCGGTCCTTTTCTAGCTGAAATGTTGTTTAAAGATATTCATCAGATAAATAGCTTTTGATTAGAAATCACAGTGAAAATAAAGCAACAGAAAACTTTTAATATCTAGAGGTAAAAAACTGCAGGATAATAAAGAAAAAAAGTAACTCAGTAAACTTATCCAAATCAAACAATCATTGTCTTACCTTCTAGACACCATCACATTCATTTTATATTCATGAGACATACAATCGACACTACTTCATTGATTCTTTCCATGGGAGCTACAAATGCTCATAGAAGTTAATTAGCGGTCAGATCAAGTATAGATAGATTTGATTATCTTAATCAAACCATCCTATGGATTATTATACTTTGCCTTCACGCCAGTAAAGATAAATAAATGATTGATGTAAGTAAAAAAGTAACAGATACTTGTATTGTATTGGTGCCTGTGTGATCGGGCAATAATTATGAGAGGAATTGTATTGTCTAGTTGGATTATTGATTAGCGAACCTAAATTACCTGTATAAGACTGAGGACTTGTTTTTCAAAGACAAAATTATCTTTTTTTTTACCAATAACTCAGAGACAATGAAATAACATCCAGAATCAATAATTAAGACCTACTGTTTCACGATGCAGCCACATTTTTTTTATCCAATATAAAGAATAGAACAAGAACACAGCAAGTAGAGACTTCTATCGTACTGTTTCGTTCAGAACTTAAAGTCGTGTGATAATCTAGGCTAACTGACTGAAAACAGAGCAAATAAACAAGATAGTCAAACGTAAACATGACTACACGATAAGCGGTGGAGAGCTGAATAATAAGTGAGTAGTGAGTTAACAGTAACTTAAGGGAATTAGAAAATAACAGAGGTTTATTTACTTAAAGAAAACCTAAGGATAGGAGAATATTAAAGTACAAGAATTCAAGTGACTAATAATTTTACAACTGCAATATAAAAAACAACCTTACGTAAATTAGTTCAAAATATCACAATATTCGACCCATTGTATTATTGTTGAAAACACAGAAAACATGAAAAAGATATTCCATCCATAGACAGACAGAAATTATTCATTATTTCTGACCATCATCGATTATTCGGAAGAAGATACCGAAGCTGGTACTTTAATATAGTGGTCTAGGTTACCTATTATAGTGACCTAACCAAACTTTAATGGCTGGAATACCTCATTTGTTAGGTCATATCATGTCAGGCAGATTTATCGGAGAGAGGTAAAACTAAAAACACCAGCTTAAGATTCGACGGCTTAGTCATAGCGTTATTTGTATAATGGTGTGAAGGGAATAAGGTTTATTCCTTAGATGTGTCTTTTTACAACGGATAAAATGGGTCAAAATAGGTCTGTATTGAAGGCAGTAAATCTCTCTTTTGTCCGTTTCCAGCGGTAAAGCATTAAAAGTAAGGGGTTAGTTCATTCAAAACTCGGAAGAAGGTCGTGTGTAACTGGCCTTAACCAGTTGTCTTTTGGACGTCGTGGATACGCTCTCAGGTGATCAAGAACATTCCTTTCACAGTATAAACAACGAAGAAGCCACAACAACTAATATATCTCTGACAGCCCCTGAGATTACCTAACTATCAAGTAAAACTGATCATATTATTATCTTGATAAATAAGTTAAGTATCTAAGTATATTTTATGATAAATAAAAAGTTATTTAGAAAAAGCTACATTTGATCCGCCAATTTGGGAGATAAGGATGTAACGCTTGTAAAACTAGAAAATGTTTAGTTAGTTCTGTGGTTTTGCTAATAAAACCTTTAAGTGTATTTAAGCGCTTGACTCCCGAACAAATTCGTGTTTGGTGATAAACTTCATTTTCACAGACTACGCTTTTGCTGTTTTATATATATGTACATTTAATTATTTACACTGTAAAATCAACAATCTGTAGTCTCACATAAACGGTAGTTATGAGAATTATTCATATCTTAAATAAATCTAAATAAATTGTCACTGTTCATATGTATAGTTGTTTAGCATAAAATCACTTAAAACCTTAATTCAATCGGTGTTAATCTGTTTGTGTTGTCATATCTGTGAAATGTTTCTTCCAGAAATATGTGCGACGATCTAAACGGATCAACAATAAAAAATTATATTGATTATTGGTTAGTGCTAAGCCAGTAGAAAAGCATGTTTTATTGTGTTCTGGGAACATTACAATCCTTTGTTTTTGTTGCGGTCATATTAGACAGCAGAGTTGTCAAAATCTAAAAAAAACAATGATTGATTTAAGAACTTTATCATATAAACAATGGTTTAGTTAATACCGAAAATCAACCATAGATCATTGTCAATGATTACATGATTAATATCTTGATTACTGATCAAACGATTTTCAGATGACAATTAGGGGTCATGCAACTGATCTAAGATATTGTGGAATTTGTCCTTGTGAATAATTTTTGTTTCATTTGCAACTAATTCTGTATTTGTGTTTGTAGCTTCAGTGAAATATCCTGAATGGAATTTCATTGGGTTGCGTTCTGATTGATAAAGATTATGCTTACTCATCAATGTCAATAACTCCATCTGAAGCTACTTCAGGTTCCAAGTTCGGGTAAAGGGGGACGATTAGGCGTGAAGTTAGCATCCTCAACTTGCAAAAAGGCTTGAGATACTAACAAGTTCTAGGACCAGACAGTATACCAACCGAAGTAATGGATTCAGACATAAAAGTAACTCCAAAGATTTCAATGTTCTCATAAGAAAGATTTGAGAGGAAAAACAAGTCCCAACAGATTACAAAAACGGATACCTCATAAGAATACTAGAAAAATGAGATCTTCGTAGGTATAAAAACTATTGTCAGTACTAGACACATTTTCGAACAGTGTTACTGGACCGAGTGAAAGATTCAGTAGTTACTCAACTTCGAGATCAACAAGCTGGTTTTCGTATGGATCAATTGTATACTGACCAAAATGCGACAATGACGATTATTATGCAGCAGTCAATTGAATGGATCTCATTGCTATGCATGTACTTCCTTCATTAATGGAAAGAATTCGACAGTGTAAACCTTGTGTAATCCTCGTCAACACCACGAAGTACATAACAACATCTTCGTTGGGATACAAGACTCCCTACGATGGACCGAACTGCAGAGCTGTGCGTAAAGGGCAGCTCACAGATGCTTTCCGAGTGACCACTAGTGTCAGAAAAGGAAGCTCACTCTTGCCATTTATCTTCCTCCTAGTTTTTGGCTGAAGTATGAAGATGTCCACAGCACAACCTTCAAGTTACCGACCGATGGCTCTTCTATCCATACCCTCAAAAATCATGGAGTTCCTGATATGCGATGGTATAAATGACTATTTACTGTCCTTAAATTTCTTCTCACCCCAACAGCATGGTTTCAGGAAGGGCTACCCTTGTATTACCAACCTGCTGACTGCGGTGGACAGATGGACAAGCAGGAGAAGGTTGATATCATCTACCTAGATTTCTCAAAAGCTTTTGGTAAGGTTAACCATACATGCCTTATCAATAAGCTCAAACGACTGAGTATCAGACCACCTCTAATCGATTGGCTCACTTCATACCTGAAAAACCGACACTTTAAGGTCAGGGTTAATTTCACTTTATCTCAGGCTATGGAATGTCCTAGTGGGGTCCCCTAGGGCTCAGTCCTAGGACCTCTTCTCTTCTTGATCTACATAAATGATCTTCCTCAACAGGTAATGTCAGACTTATTACATTTTGTCGATGACGTGAAACTTTGGAGAGAGATACGCAACCAAGACGATATACAGGCACTTCAGGAGGATCTGACTCGACTTTAAAATTGGGCAGACGATAACGGACTTACCTTTAACACTTCAAAGTGTAAAGTAGTCCATCTGCGACATGTCGCAGACTAGAGTTATAACTTAAGAAACTCCTCCCTAGTAGTATCTCGAGTCGAAAAAGATTTGGGAGTCCTGGTGCTCTACGATCTAAAGTCTTACGCTAACTGTGACAAAAATGCCTTCCGAGCAAATCTTGCACTGGTAACATTGAAGCGCATTTTTGGCCAGTTTGACGGAAGAACTTTCCACATAATCTTCAACAGTTTTATTCGTCCCTATTTAGAGTACGGGAACATAGTATTTCCTCCCTCACTCCAAAAGGATAAGGACACTGGAGCGTATCCAACGGCGAGCCACGAAATCAGTTCGGGGACTCAAATTCAAACCTTGTGAAGAACGCCTCCAATCACTTAACCTTTACCCATTAGAGTATAGGCGTCTTAGAGGTGACCTTCTGGTGGCTTACAGTATCCTTAACACTTCTGTACCCGTATTGGTGATCCCCTACTACTAGACACTGAAGCCTGTTAAGCGAAGGCTTCTTCTATTTCGTCCACAACCATTTGGATGATTTGAACTTTGTGACCCGACCGAAGCTGCTACCTTGACGCGGTGGTCGGGCTTGCTTATCGTGATGACCCAACCGTGCTATATTGGCTGGAACACATGTTCCTGTAGGTTCTACCATGCCAGGCAGGTCGATTGGAGAACGGTAAGACTAAGAGCAGCAACCCAAGGTCTGAGGGAAAAGTCGTACTACTGACTGTAGAGGGGTGTGACAACAGTAAGGTTTTTCCCTCGGACAGCCAGCATGACAGCGATGCTGCCTTCCCACAAGGAGGGGTGGTGTTAGAAAAGGCCGACCCTAAAAATGTCACACCTCACCTTACCTCACGGATTTCCGTCTCCGGCGGTAAGGCCCTTTGAAGAACGGAGCTAACACATTAAAAACCTTCCACGAAAAGGCCGTGCGCGACCGGCTTAGGCAGTTGTCCCTTGGGCTCTGCCGTCACGCTCCACGGTGTGGGCAGCCGAGAAGTGATATCAGCCCTCATACCCGTAACAGCACACGAGACCAAGTTGGTCACATTCAGATCCTTCCTACACCTCCTAATACCTCTCTTATCTCCATGACTAACTCTTCTCACGTCTCTTTATCACCTCGCACCGCTAAGGCAAACGATTCGAGTACGCGGAACGTTATTCCT